AGGTAACCGTCTAGTTCTCCCAAACAGGAGCCTCCGTTAGGAAACCGTTATACCTTCCCCAAACAGGGTGCCTCCCGTTAGGTAACCGTCTAGTTCTCCCAAACAGGGAGCCTCCCGTTAGGAAACCGTTATACCTTCCCCAAACAGGGTGCCTCCCGTTAGGTAACCGTCTAGTTCTCCCAAACAGGGAGCCTCCCGTTAGGTAACAGTCTAGTTTCCCCAAACAGGGAGCCGCCCGTTAGGTTACCGTTATACATTCCCAAACATGGTGCCTCCGTTAGGTAACCGTCTAGTTCTCCCAAACAGGGGAGCCTCCCGTTAGGGAAACCGTTATACATTCCCCAAACATGGTGCCTCCGTTAGGTAACCGTCTAGTTCTCCCAAACGGGGAGCCTCCCGTTAGGTAACAGTCCAGTTTCCCCAAACAGGGAGCCGCCCGCTAGGTTACCGTTATACATTCCCCAAACAGGGTGCCTCCCGTTAGGTAACCGTCTAGTTCTCCCAAACAGGGAGCCTCCCGTTAGGAAACCGTTATACCTTCCCCAAACAGGGTGCCTCCCGTTAGGTAACCGTCTAGATCTCCCAAACAGGGAGCCTCCCGTTAGGTAACAGTCTAGTTTCCCCAAACAGGGAGCCGCCCGTTAGGTTACCGTTATACATTCCCCAAACATGGTGCCTCCCGTTAGGTAACCGTATAGTTCTCCCAAACAGGGAGCCTCCCGTTAGGTTACCGTTACACCTTCCCCAAACAGGGTGCCTCCCGTTAGGTAACCGTGTAATTTCCCCAAACAGGGAGCCTCCCGTTAGGTAACCGTGTAATTTCCCCAAACAGGGAGCCTCCAGTTAGGTAACCGTCTAGTTTCCCCAAACAGGGTGCCTCCCGTTAGGTAACCGCCTAGTTTCCCCAAACAGGGTGCCTCCCGTTAGGTAACCGTCTAGTTTCCCCGAACATGGTGCCTCCAGTTAGTTAACCGTCTATTTTCCCCAAACAGGGTGACTCTTGTTAGGTAACCGTCTAGTTTTCCCAAACAGTGTTCCTCCCGTTAGGTAACCGCCTAGTTCCCCCAAACATGGTTCCTCCCGTTAGGTAACCGTCTAGTTTCCCCAAACAGGGTTCCTCCCGTAAAGGGACCGTCTAGTTTCCCCAAACAGGGAGCCTCCAGTTAGGTAACCGTCTAGTTTCCCCAAACAGGGAGCCTCCAGTTAGGTAACCGTCTACTTCTCCCAAACAGGGAGCCTCCCGTTAGGAAACCGTTACACCTTCCCCAAACAGGGTGCCTCCCGTTAGGTAACCGTGTAGTTTCCCCAAACAGGGAGCCGAGAGTTAGGTAACCGTCTAGCTTCCCCAAACAGGGAGCCTCAACTTAGATTACCGTTACACCTTCCCCAAACAGGGTGACTCCCGTTAGGTTACCGTCTAGTTCTCCCAAACAGGGAGCCTCCCGTTAGGTAACCGTCTAGTTCCCCCAAACAGGAAGCCTCCAGTTAGGTTACCGTTATACCTTCCCCAAACATGGTGCCTCCCGTTAGGTAACCGTCTAGTTCTCCCAAACAGGGTGCCTCCAGTTAGGTAACCGTCTAGTTTCCCCAAACAGGGTTCCTCCAGTTAGGTAAGTTCTTAAACGGGGGATCTAGTTTCCCCAAACAGGGGCCTCAAGTTAGGTTACCGTTATACCTTCCCCAAACATGGTGCCTCCCGTTAGGTTACCGTCTAGTTTTCCCAAACAGGGTGCCTCCCGTTAGGTAACCGTCTAGTTTCCCCAAACAGGGTGCCTCACGTTAGGTTACTGTTATACCTTCCCCAAACAGGGTGCCTCCCGTTAGGTTACCGTCTAGTTCTCCCAAACATGGTGCCTCCGGTTAGGTAGCCGTCTAGTTCCCCCAAACAGGGAGCCTCCCGTTAGGTAACCGTTATACCTTCCCCAAACACGGTGCCTCCCGTTAAGTTACCGTCTAGTTCTCCCAAGCAGGGTGCCTCCCGTTAGGAAACCGTCTAGTTTCCCAAACAGAGGTGCCTCCCGTTAGGTAACCAAATCTAGTTTCCCAAATAGGGTGCCTCCGTTAGGTAACCGTCTAGTTTCCCCCAACAGGGTTCTTCCCGTTAGGTAACCGTCTAGTTTCCCAAAACAGGGTTCCTCCCTTTAGGTAACCGTCTAGTTTCCCCAAATAGGGTTCCTCCAGTTAGGTAACCGTCTAGTTTTCCCCAAACAGGGTGCCTCCCGTTAGGTAACCGTCTAGTTTCCCCAAATAGGGTGCCTCCCGTTAGGTAACCGTCTAGTTTCCCAAAACAGGGTTCTTCCCGTTAGGTAACCGTCTAGTTTCCCAAAACAGGGTTCCTCCCTTTAGGTAACCGTCTAGTTTCCCCAAAACGCAACGCCTCTCGTTAGGAAAGCGTCCTAAAACATGGTGCCTCCCGTTACGGGAGTGCCTGGTTTCCTGGACTATAGTGTCTCCGTTGAGGCCATTGTCTAGTGCCTGTTTGCGTTATCATTATTTGAGACCAAAAATTCCAATATTTGTTCGAAAGAAATAGGTTAAACGCCAGATTCTATAAGTTAGAGAAAGCGATCTGTTCGAGGGTTCAGGGTCGGGATAAGGATTTCAGGATAAATTTGAAACAGCTTATCACTTATGAATTTGAGATCCTGTATAACAAACAATAAACGCTGTATCTACCGAGTATGGGCGAACTTAATAACCTATTATACTCTGTTGGAACGATGGTGGTTACGATGATTTTTTACGATAATACTGTTGATGTTTTGAACATCGATTGTAAGGGTAATGTTGGTGTTGATATTCTGGGGCGTGAGATGTATTCGTGATTGTGATATTAATATGATGATGATATGTGTAAGACGATTGTGGTTATATGATGATGACGAAGGTGGTTTTGATGATATGTTGAGGATGTTTAAGACGAGTATTATCATGGTGATGTGGCGATGACCATGATGGTGTAAACTTCTTTGAGTTGCATTTAGAAGTTGGTGTTCTGAACCACGAGGAGAGTTCAATAGATTATTAATAAAGAAGCTGTATATCCATAGAACTCTCCTCGTTGTTGATAATAACAATGATGATAATGATGATGATGATTGATGATGATGATTGATGATGATGATGATGATGATTGATGATGGATGATGATGATGATTGATGATGATGATTGATGATGATTGATGATGATGATGATTGATGATTGATGATTGATGGATGATGATTGATGGAGGATGATTGATGGAGGATGGAGGATGGAGGATGGAGGATGGAGGATGGAGGATGATGATGATGATGATGATGATGATGATGATGATGATGATGATGATGATGATGGATGATGATTGATGATTGATGGATGATGATTGATGATGATTGATGATGATGATGATGATGAATGATGATGAATGATGATGAATGATGATGATGATGATGATTGATGATGATGATTGATGATGATGGATGATTGATGATGATTGATGATGATGGATGATGATGATGATGATGATGATTGATGATGATTAATGATGATTGATGATGATTGATGATGATTGATGATGATTGATGATGATGGATGATGATGATGATGATGATGATTGATGATGATTAATGATGATTGATGATGATTGATGATGATTGATGATGATTGATGATGATTGATGATGATTGATGATGATTGATGATGATGGATGATGGATGATGATGATGATGATGATGATGATAATGATAATGATGATGATGATGATGATGATGATGATGATGATGATGATGATGATTGATGATTAATGATGATGATTGATGATGATGATGATGATGATGACGACGACGATGACGATGATTACGATGATGATGGAGTTGAAGACAAAGATGGTGTTGAGGGTGATGGTAATGTTTGAAAAGATTATTAAGATGATGGCGTGAAAATGACGAGGATAATGATGTTCATACTGACGACGGTGATGTGATGATGACGATGATGGTGATGTTCGTAATGACGACTGTGATGTGATGATGACGATGATGGTGATGTTCGTAATGCCGACGGCGATGTGACAATGACGTGATGATGATGTTCTTGATGATAACTGTGATGTGAGGATGATGATCATGGTGATGTGATGATGATGGCGACGGAGATGTAACGATGACGTGATGATGATGTTCTTAATGACGACGGCGATGTAATGATGACGTGATGATGATGTTTGTAATGACAACAGCGATGTGATGACGATGATGTTCGTAATGACGACGGCGATGTGATGACGATGATGATGATGTTCGTAATGACGACGCCGCTGTGATCATGACGTGATGACGATGTTCGTAATGACGACGGCGATGTGATGACGATGATGATGTTCATACTGACGGCTGTGATGTGATGATGACGATGATGGTGTTAAATTTAATGGCGACTTGATTCCATGACGATGACAGTGATGACGATCATGGTGTTAATCGTAATGACGATGGAGATGTAATGATGACGATGACATTGTCGAACATGGCATGATGATGGCTGCAACATTGATTGTATAGCCTTAGAATATTTGACAAAGATCGTTATGTGATAATAATGATATTACGTACACGGCACAATGAACGTATACCCCATAACCACAATACAACAAACCAGAACAGTCCCTAATGTCAAACCAGGAAAAGCTTCCGTTATCATAATAAACATTATTTCTCGAAATCACGTTCATACAGCTCAGATAAAAACCCGTGCTGACCAATCAGCGTGCGAGGATCTGAAATCAGTGGAGGAAGTTTTAGCATTGTCAGGCAATACGATAAGCTGGATTTATGGACATGTACGCCTGCAGGATGTGGGTTCACAGCCACTGGTGGAGCTGCTATCTTCACAGTCTATGAGGAAGTGAGAACATGAGGCTATCAATGGATGTGTGCGTCACCGTAACACGGTACATGGGACTGATTATATTACTGTCAGGTAAACCTGTTTTGTTATTTTTACATATACCGTCCAAAATGGCGTCCGCGGTATGGGAGTTCGACATCATGTTCTGAAATGGATATACGACGCTTGCGTTATTAACTCATTGATTCAGAAGCTTTAAGGAAGTGAGAACATGGGGCTATCAGCGGATGTGTGCCTCGCCGTCACACGGTACATTGGACTGTACATTATTTTACTGTCAGGTAAAACGACATTTTGCCTTTTTTACGTTGAGTGTCGAAATGCGTCACGGTATAGGAAAATCGGCATCATGTTTTGAAATGGATTGAGGATAGTTGTATTAATAACAGGTGTTGATTCTGGTCGAGTATCCACGTAACTTCATGTTCCTTGTCGCGCCTGGTGTCCCCTGCCGTGATATTGCTGTAATATTTCTACAAGCGGAGTAAACCTGAACTCACTCACTCACTAGATCTTGGCATGTACAATGTGTGAAGTCCATTTCTGGTGTCCCCCGCCGTGATGTTGCAGGTATATCGCCCAAAATGGTATAAAACCGACCTCATTCTATACAAAGTTGGGGCGGTGGGGTAGCCTAGTGGTTAAAGCGTTTCGCTCGTCACGCCGAAGACTCGGGTTCGATTCCCCACATGGGTACAATGTGTAAAGTCCATTTCTTGTGTCTCCAGCCGTGAAATTGCTGTGATATTTCTAAAAGCGGCGTAGAAATAAACTCGCTCGTTTGATACTAGATCATTAACTTCAATAAAACGCTATGGTATTACACGGAAGGTCATTTAGTATCCTCTATGCCTTTACAACAAACATTTACATATGTTTATTTAAATACACCGACGTACAAAACAAGGTACACAAAGTGTGAATCAACACTGCTACGATGTTCATTATACCCCTCGTATACCACTGTATATAATATCAATGGTGCTTTATCAACGCCTACGCAATGTTCTGAATATCAAATCTTTTTTCCAAATATTTACGCCGCTGTTTGGAAAATTATACCCATGAACGGGGTATGTCAATTTACATTTTTTGTGGTACGAAATGACATGAGGATAAAAGTTGAACCTTGTTTACACAAATGAAACCGATACACAGGCAGCTTCCTTACGTTAATACTGCAGGTCACGCTCCACAAAGCGGTCTTAGGTAATCATAACTCTTATGTTTTAGCATAGGAGTGCAATCATCGCTAAAGTCGCTTTGTGAACATGGGCCCAAGTAATAACTTTAAAAAAAACCTGCGTATATGCAACATAGTGTTAAACATAAATATACCAAATGAAACGCTTGAAGCCCATATATTGAAGTCATTGTCATATGTGAAATAGAAAAATGCATGATAAATTACTATATCAATAAAACCCACGAAGATCCGGGTAGGAATTGATCTTCAGCAACCCTTGCTTGTCGTAACAGGCGACTAGCGGGATCGGGTGGTCAGGCACGCTGACTTGGTTGACACATGTCATTGTACCCAGTTGCGTTGATCGATGCTCATGCTGTTGATCACTGGATTGTCTGGTCCACAATCGAATATAAACAGACCGTAGTTATATAGATAGAAAATTGGTGAGTGTGGCGTTAAACATCAAACAAACAAATAAATAAAACAAACCACAGCGCGATAACATTGTTCGGTAAGAGGTGATTGTGCATGTTGTCTGAACACCTTGCATATGTGTATGGGTGTAGTATTATCTCTAGTGTTTATTAACTTTAATCGTTTCACTTACAACATTACGATAACATTATTTGATAATAGTTTATAATGGTGTATATATAACTATGACATAACTATAACATACCGGGAATTAAATACGGAAAATCACTGTTACTAGTGATGAAATAATTTAACCATATTTAAGCCCAGGGCTTAAATTCGAAAATGCACAGTCTTTTGATAAAAGGAAAAGAATCAGGATTTTTTAAAACTCTTTAATCAGGAAACTGGTTTTTAAATTCAAAATTTAAAGTTATGAAAATGTGAACGTGAATGATAAAGTTGACAGTCTTTAATGCAAAACACGAACTTCAAACTATTATGAGAGGACTGACTGACATCTAAGACAATGACTAGTCTCTACAGTGAGTATTTAGAGAGCCACACTGTTTTCAAGAGTTCAAAGCTGAACGGATTGAGGATAGTTGTATTAATAACAGGTGTTGATTCTGGTCGAGTATCCACGTAACTTCATGTCGTCCTTTGTCGCGCCTGGTGTCCCCTGCCGTGATATTGCTGTAATATTTCTACAAGCGGAGTAAACCTGAACTCACTCACTCACTAGATCTTGGCATGTACAATGTGTGAAGTCCATTTCTGGTGTCCCCCGCCGTGATGTTGCAGGTATATCGCCCAAAATGGTATAAAACCGACCTCATTCTATACAAAGTTGGGGCGGTGGGGTAGCCTAGTGGTTAAAGCGTTCGCTCGTCACGCCGAAGACTCGGGTTCGATTCCCCACATGGGTACAATGTGTAAAGTCCATTTCTTGTGTCTCCAGCCGTGAAATTGCTGTGATATTTCTAAAAGCGGCGTAAAAATAAACTCGCTCGTTTGATACCAGATCATTAACTTCAATAAAACATGGTATTACACGGAAGGTCATTTAGTATCCTCTATGCCTTTACAACAAACATTTACATATGTTTATTTAAATACACCGACGTACAAAACAAGGTACACAAAGTGTGAATCAACACTGCTACGATGTTCATTATACCCCTCGTATACCACTGTATATAATATCAATGGTGCTTTATCAACGCCTACGCAATGTTCTGAATATCAAATCTTTTTTCCAAATATTTACGCCGCTGTTTGGAAAATTATACCCATGAACGGGGTATGTCAATTTACATTTTTTGTGGTACGAAAGGACATGAGGATAAAAGTTGAACCTTGTTTACACAAATGAAACCGATACACAGGCAGCTTCCTTACGTTAATACTGCAGGTCACGCTCCACAAAGCGGTCTTAGGTAATCATAACTCTTATGTTTTAGCATAGGAGTGCAATCATCGCTAAAGTCGCTTTGTGAACATGGGCCCAAGTAATAACTTTAAAAACAACCTGCGTATATACAACATAGTGTTAAACATAAATAGCCCAAATGAAAAGCTTGAATCCCATATATTGAAGTCATTGTCATATGTGAAATAGAAAAATGCATGATAAATTACTATATCAATAAAACCCATGAAGATCCGGGTAGGAATTGATCTTCAGCAACCCTTGCTTGTCGTAACAGGCGACTAGCGGGATCGGGTGGTCAGGCACGCTGACTTGGTTGACACATGTCATTGTACCCAGTTGCGTTGATCGATGCTCATGCTGTTGATCACTGGATTGTCTGGTCCACAATCGAATATAAACAGACCGTAGTTATATAGATAGAAAATTGGTGAGTGTGGCGTTAAACATCAAACAAACAAATAAATAAACAAACCACAGCGCGATAACATTGTTCGGTAAGAGGTGATTGTGCATGTTGTCTGAACACCTTGCATATGTGTATGGTGTAGTAGTATCTCTGGTGTAATTAACTTTAATCGTTTCACTTACAACATTACGATAACATTATTTGATAATAGTTTATAATAGTGTATATATAACTATGACATAACTATAACATACCGGGAATTAAATACGGAAAATCACTGTTCTAGTGATGGAATATTTAACCATATTTAAGCCCAAGGCTTAAATTCGAAAATGCACAGTATTTTGATAAAAGGAAAAGAATCAGGATTTTTTAAAACTCTTTAATCAGGAATCTGGTCTTTAAATTCAAAATTTAAAGTTATGAAAATGTGAACGTGAATGATAAAGTTATACTGAGTCAAAAAAGAAACTTCACAAAATGTAATTTGAAAAATAATGAATAATTTTTCTCTGATGATACATCTATGTATCCGAAATGGGATCCCTACCTTTGGACTCTAGAAAAACGTTAGCAAAACCCACTCAAACCCATCCATTCGTCGTGCAAATGACGTTAGTGCCAAATCAGGTTTTGCACGTGCAGTCCATCACGTGATCTTCGCATCGAAGTTTTCTTCATATGCACGTGTTTGCATTGGCCTCAAGAATTGAAAAAACACTTTTAAACCACAGTTCTAACGGTACTTGAAATGCCACGATTGTCAAATGTGCAACGTGAACGTGCCGTTGGCATGTTGCAAGCGGAAAGATCAGTTATTGACGTCGCAAGAGCAATGGGATGCAGCCGTCGTACTGTGTATGACTTGCGAGGTCGTCTACAACAAACTGGAACCACTTATGATCGCCCAAGGTCGGGTCGTCCACGAGTGACGTCACGAGCAGAAGACCGTCAAATCGTCCTACGTCACCTACGTGACAGATTTCTGCCGGCTACACGAACCAGGGCTGAGATGTTTAGAGGTCGACTGTCCTCACAGACGATTCGAAATCGGTTGCGGGCTGCCAATCTCCATTCTCCACGTCCATATCGTGGGCCAATGTTGACGCCGTTTCATCAACGTCAACGTCTGCTGTGGGCCCAACGTCACCTCCGATGGACCCAGAGAGACTGGAAGCGAGTCGTCTTTAGCGATGAATCCAGGTTTACCCTCAGATGCGCGGACAGCAGGCATAGAGTCTGGAGACGATGTCGTGAACGGTATGCCCAATGTTGTGTACAGGAAGTCGACAGATTCGGGGGCGGAAGTTGCATGGTGTGGGGTGCCTTTTGTGGGAACAACCGTTCCCGACTTCTGGTCCTCCGTGGAAACCTCACAGCTGCTGCTTACCGCGACCAGGTGCTCACCCGTGAACTCGTTCCTTTCATGGCGGCTCATGGCCCAGGTATACAGTTCCAGCATGATAATGCTCGGCCGCATACCGCGATGTTGACATGAAATTTCCTTCAAAACGCTGGAATTAACGTCATGGACTGGCCATCGAGGTCCCCTGACCTTAATCCAATAGGGCACGTTTGGGATGCACTTGGGAGAAGGCTTCGGGGTCTTAGGAACCAACCTCAGAATTTGCAGGAACTTGGCGCTGCAATGCAAGAGCAATGGCGCAGAATCCCCAACCACGTGTTCACAAGCATCAGGCAGTCGATGAGGAGACGGTGTTTGGCAGTGGTGAATGCGCGGGGTGGCCATACACGATATTGAACTGAGAAATTTCGCATTTTTATTCTTGTGACTTGACATTCTGTATACCCATGTTTTGGTACGGCGGTGTAGCCTAATGGAACTGATTATGGCACTGTCAGTGTATCGAGTACATCACACAGATCTCAGCAATGAAATAATAACAATTTAACCATCTTACCATCTCTTGTTCTTTTATAGTGCCCTGAAGAAAGAATGTGAAGTTTCTTCTTTGACTCAGTATATTATGAGAGGACTAACTGACATCTAAGACCAATGACTAGTCTCTACAGTGAGTATTTAGAGCCACACTGTTTTCAGAGTTCAAAGCTGTGAAAATGTTCACTCAAATGAGTATTTCAACTGTGAACGGAAAGATGAAGTTCTAACAGTCTATTCTATGCAAAATATGAACTTCAAACTAATAGTCAGAGTTTAGTTTAGTTGGGCTTTACGTCACATCGGCATTATTCCAGCCACACAGTGACGACATCAAGTCTGAATTCATGAACAATTTAACTTCATACTAATATAACAGGAGTGACTGACTGATATCTATGGGAGTGACACTATTCAGAGTCAAAGTCTCTGCGTTTGGAAAGGGACGTCAGTCTAAACACCCAAGAATTAAATACAAAATTAAAGCCCATGGGCTTAAGTACGGAAAAAAATCCCGTACTTTAGCCCATGGGCTAACTTTCGCGTGGGCCTAAATATGGGAATTCCCGGTAACTATAACATAAACTATAACATAACTATATAATAAATATAACATAACTATAATAACTATATTATAACTATAACATAACTATATCATAACTATAACATAACTATATCATAACTATAACGTAACTATAACAACTATATCATAACTATAACATAACTATGTCATAACTATAACATAACTATAACTATAACTATAACATAACTATATCATAACTATAACGTAACTATAACAACTATATTATAACTATAACATAACTATGTCATAACTATAACATAACTATAACATAACTATAACATAACTATAACATAACTATGTCATAACTATAACGTAACTATAACAACTATATTATAACTATAACATAACTATAACATAACTATATTATAAACATAACTATAACATATAACATAACTATAACATAACTATAACATAACTATAACATAACTATAACATAACTATAACATAACTATAACATAACTATGTCATAACTATAACATAACTATAACAACTATATTATAACTATAACATAACTATATGATAACTATAACATAACTATAGCATAAACTATAACATAACTATGTCATTACTATAACATAATTATAACTTTAACATGACTATAACTCTCTCTCTCTCTCTCTCCCTCTCTCCCTTCAGTAACCCATGCTTGTCTCCCCGTGAAGATCAGGGTTAGAATGAACCTTCAGTAACCCATGCTTGTCGTAAGAGGCAACTAACGGGATCGGGTGGTCAGGCTCGCTGACTTGGTTGATACATTTTGTCCAATTACGCACGTCGTCATCAGACTCGTAGGATGTCATTCTAAGGCTTTGACCGAGTACCATAACTATTTCCATAACCAAACAATGGGGAAACATACGTGGTCCTGACTAGTATTTTATAATTCTCCAGTTTTCGGGGAATAACTTATCTGCGTCGCAAAAATTATCTCTGCTCGACCAGGCTGGGATCTTGTATCGAGACTTGATACGTTATTAATGAGAACTAGGATCCTAATTCTTTTCAACAAAATAATTCCAGTGTAACTTTTGAAGCAGATAATTTTTATTCTCCCTCGTCTGAAACATAATTATTTTGTTTTTAAATCCCAGACACCCTACAGTCACCCATTTGACACAAAATGAACTGTAATCACATTTTTTTTTTAAATAATTCTTAGTGACTGGTCATATATTTATAGGGGTGGGTTTGCTGGCTGGAACTGTATGACATTTTGCTGACAAATAGTAATCTTGTTAAATGATATGGTCTATTTTAAAATTTATTTTGACCTCAAGCAATGCCTCCGTTTCGCTTGATTCTTCTTCTTCATCTTCAGGGGAAGATTGTCTTGCAAGATGTAAAATCGGATCGTATTGATACGGTCTAACATCCATTTCAGAAATGACATCAGGAACATCTTTTACTGCTTCAGCATCCACGGACACTATTAAGTTGTGAGGTAAAATCAAAGAGGAAGCCATCAGCAACAGGCACTTATGACGTCAAGTCACGTGATACCCCCTCTGCTCATTAACTGTCGGGTGTTTCCGTAATAGGCGGAAATACGAGTACGTTTTTGTGTTTTTATTGCTATTTTACAAACTTTTTGTTCAATTTTAATCACGGAATGTGACTTTTAGAATACCTTTACAATATATCAAAAGTTTTGTTTTCGTTCGTATTCTCCTTTAAACAAATGGAGAAGTACACTACTTCCTCGTCAGACGCCCCTCGTTGATTTGTCTGTTGAAGGATGTCTACAGGAAACACAACTACCACCTGTTTTCTATGAACAAAGAGTCCTAATGTATGCATGGGTATTTAAATTGAAACTATGACCACGAACTGTCCAAGCCTCGATGGAATGGGTTAGTGAGTTAGCTGACGCTGCTTCTGTTACAGTGAGTGAGTAAGTTAAAATTTACCGTCACATCGGCAATATTTCAGCCATATAGTGACGAGAATAGTTATGATAATAATAGAGTAGAATGGTAATAATAATATGACCATTTACATAACGCTGAACTCCACACCGCAGGGACATGCTCTAAGCACATACAACATGATGGACATTACCCCGGATAACCCAAGCTGCCTGTGAGGCGCTGGAAGGTTCATAGTCATATGACTTATCCCACCGGGTACCCATTCACTGCTGGGTGAACAGAGGCAATTTTCTTAACGAACTCACCTGTCTCACAACATGTATGCTTCGTTGAGGGGCGAGACAGAAATCCTAGAAACTCCCAGGAGTCAAGCTGCAAAACACGGTCACCCATCCAAGGACTATCCGCACCCAACGTTGCTTAAATTCTCCTGATTTGTGACCTGCGTTCTATGCACAAGACCACACCCCACCCATTTAGTTGTGCTAAATATATTTAACATGTGTGACAAAGGACAGTACAATATCATCAAGATATCACAATTTATGCCTAAATACTAACCGCTTCAAACATTAAAAAATTTAATTTAACGCATTCAAAGATTACTCATTACATTTAACACCATTAAAATAGATCGCCAGCAACTGATGGTAAATCACCATACTAAGGAACATGGGGACTTACAGTGGGTGATGAGTTTCATTATATCCTAAATGCACATATTTTAGAAAGGAAAGATCAATGCATATACCAGCTTCCTTTATAAAAAGACCAAATATGTCAACATTCAAATCATTCTTTACATGTAAAATAGTATCTGTTAATAGTATACAGTAAATTCTGTAAATATATCATGCAAATTGTAAAATCTTCAAGCTAACTACTATTCCGCCACAATATTATAATTTATTGTCATTTGTACTTCATATATCGATGATATCGGCCTGAGCGTAATAAAGTTCTGTTCTGTTATGTATTTTATGGGCCATTCCTATTTCATTAAGAGGTAACAGGCAAGGGGTTAGCTGTTAGTGAGTGAGTTTAGTTACACGTCGCACTCAGCAATATTCAAGCTATATGGCAGCGGTCTGTAAATAATCGAGTCTGGACCAGACAATCCGGTGATCAACAGCATGATCATCGATCTACACAATTGGGATGACATGTGTCAATCACTTTAGCGAGTCTGACCACCCGCTTACAACAAGCATGGTTTATTGAAGATCAATTCTAACCCGGATCTTCACGGGTGAATTAGCTGTGAACTCTACCAGATGGTTTGTTGTTTTAACCTGTCTGGCTATTGGGATGTCTGACAAATGGGAGCATACCCCTTTGCTACCTGGATATACACCATCCCTTCAGCCGCTGGCGATTGTACTGAGATTTAGCCATTACTTACAACAACACATATACTACGTTTAAATGCTTGGTAGACCTAAATTTACTTGAAAATTTTGGGACTAACGTATTACTTCTGTTGCAACAGGGATAGTTTAGATATGAATTTACACAAATACGTTCCGTCAAACACCTAGATGTAAAAGCACAAGCAAGTCTCAATGTATTGCTTTACGAATCGATATTTAACTCGATGTAGAGGGGCAGTGGGGTAGCCTAGTTGTTAAGGCGTTCGCTCGTCAGGCTGACATACAGTCAGACGGACGGACGGACAGTGAGTGAGTGAGTTTAGTTTTACGCCGCACTCAGCAATATTCCAGCTATATGGCGGCGGTCTGTAAATAATCGAGTCTGGACCAGACAATCCAGTGATCAACAGCATGAGCATCAATTTACGCAGTTGGGATACGATGACACGTGTCAACCAAGCCAGCGAGCCTGACCACCCGATCCCGTTAGTCGCCTCTTACGACGAGCATGGGTTACTGAAGATCAATATTCTAACCCGGACCTTCACGGGTTTCATATAATATAGATTTGTTTCCAGTTTATTGTATATTGTTATTTGCCCAAATATGCTGTTTGCAAAAGTAAGATTTCTTATAAGGGTATCGTTCTTGTAAATCAGCCAAAGCTTCCAGAAAAGGTTTCTAAGTTTTGTGATGACGTGTTGAAACAGATAATTTGAGCCCATTGAGCCCAGTGCTTGTTGTCTGGTCCAGAGTCGATTATTTACAGACCGCCGTCATATGGCAGGGTTATTGCTGAGTGCGGCGTAAAACTAAACTCACTCATTCTAACAAACGTGAAATACATTTACAGGAACACGAAATATCTGTGAGGCTACGACCACCATCCCCACCATCAGCAGCAGCAACATCGGCATCAGCAGCAGCAACACCGGCATCAGCAGCAGCAACACCGGCATCAGCAGCAGCAGCGCCCCAGCCACATCGTCAAAGAGTAAGTACCTTGAGGAAGTGTTTCACTCACTTCAACCAACATTCAACTTGTTTTATTTATAGCTAATTTCGCTCGCCGGCTAACATAAAGAGAAAATCCGACTATGAACAAATCCGTGACAAAATATGACTTTTGTTGGCCCTTATCTCGAAAGTAAAACAGTCTAGGGTCTAGGTGAGAGTCATCCTCGTGTTAGAAAATTGCTTCCTTGAAAACTAAATATTTTGGTTTAGACTCCTCAACATATTTAGTGTTGTCATAGGTTCAGAAGAAGGGTGTTTTTAAATGTTACCGAATTGTATTTATACAAACATATGTGCTATCATTCATTCAAAAGATTCAATAAGTACTGATATTTTCATAAATATTGTAGTGAGTGAGTTGAGTTTTAGCCGCGTTTAGCAATATTCCAGCAATTTATATATTGTAACAAACTTACAAAAATAGTACACAACTGCTACTTTGGGATGGGTTTTTTAACAATGCAACGTAAATATATGGAAAGTGTTTTGATTGTGTCTTACAAGTACACAATGTTTGTGACTTTTCAAAAACATTCCAAAAGACCAGGTGTGTACTTTCTTTCGTTCTTCAGTTTAGATGATGTGACCAAGACGAGCTTATATAACACAGTGTCCCCAGTACTCCACTTATTCACTGCATTGATTATGTAAATCAGCGATTGCAGTTGTCATGTTTATTCATAGTGTACAGTCAAACACTGATGTGTCGAAGAATGAGTGAGTGAGTTTAGGTTTACGCCGTTTTAGCAATATTCCAGAAATATCACAGCGGGGGACACCAGAAATAAGCCTCATGCATTGTACCTATGTGGGAATTGAACCCAGATCGTTTACATGACGAGCAAACGCTTTAACCACTGGGCTACCACACCGTCCGTCGAAGTTGGAAGGACCTACGTAAATACTTCGAGTTATATACGACTTTAGACACAATCGTAATATCGACAAAATGAATACTAAAGGACCCACATTTTACTTCGTATCAACCGCAATTTCGACACACTAAAAGTCGAGAAATAGTGTTTGACTTTATGTTTATCCATAAACACTAATGCTACATTATCACAACTCAAGTAAACAAAATGGCCGTCATACCACACCCGATTCGGTTATCATATGCAAATTCATATCCATGAACAATGACAGTTTAAAGCAACTTGGAAATGCGGAAGTTGTGGAAAGTTTATATCTGCCATTACTCTGTTTATTTATATGTAATGCTTAGATGTGTTTTTATTGCTTTTATGTATTTTTTCTTAGAAGCGACAATGACGCTATCAACAGCAGCAGCAACAACAACACCGGGGACCTCAACCTTACATCTATTTAGGATAAACCTGAACACTTCGTGCGTGACTGGCCAGTTGTGGATCAATATTTCACAATTTAATGTACGTTGGATTCTTTTGAAAAAAAAATGTACAGTGAGTGAGTGAGTGCGTGAGTGAGTGAGCGAGCGAGTGTAACTTAAGCACCGTTTAGCAATATTCAAGTGATATCCCTCTGGAGACACAGGGAATAGGGTAACAACGTTTGGAATCGAACCCAGCTTATGCCACTACGAGCAAACTCTTTGAAAACCAGGCTACCCCATAGCCCTATATCTGTCCTTAAATAACTGACATTTACTTCAAGATATATAACGATGTGATTTACAAATACATGTATACTGAAATAGGCTGCTTATTGTTCAAACCACATAAATCACACATAGTTTCATTTTGTTACAATGTACATATGTCGCATCACATCATATACATACATTTGATTTTACAGGAAACAGTAGGTTCTAAAGACGTCAACGGGACTTGTGAGGGGGATACCGAATTTATCAAAACATTTCTCGATCAGCTGATAAACGGCGTGAAACTGACCACAACTACACCACCATTGCCCACAACTACACCTTCATTGACTACAACTCCACTGACCACAACTACAACTGCACCTACTACGACTAGCACCTCTGATGATCACCCCACTGGGTCATCTCAGGCCAGCACCAGCAGGGACGTCAACAGTACATCATCTACGACGACAACACTCGATACAACTTCTACGAAATCATGTATGTCACCATTATCTCGATTTTCGTGCTTTTACTTAGGTCAGCATTTATATTCTGAATTATGTAATACCCGTTAGGGATGAAATCTCAGATCTGTTCGTTATCTGGTCGACCAGATCGTCTGCTATGGCAGAAATTATTTCAGTTCCGACAGGAACCTATTACCATGAAACGCAGGCTTGAATTGACAAGGTTGGAAGCTCAGCTTTGTTATAGGGTAGTGGGTGATTTTGCCTCGGAAAGAAGATTCCGATTTTGAAAAGGCGTTTCTGGTATAATAGTTTCTCAGCAAAGCCCCTCAGTGTGATAATTAATCATATCTTGATATAGGATTCTTTTCATAGGTCATCCTATTCAAATTGCGTGGATCGAAACTCATGCTGTTGATCACGGGATTGTCTGGTCCAGACTCAATTATTTACAGACCGCAATCATATAGCTGGAATACTGCTGAGTGCGACGTTAAACAATAACCAACCAAAACTAAACCAAACCTCATTTTAGATTGCAAGCTCGTGGCGAAACTCTTTCCAAACTCTATTTTAAGTTTTGAATGGTTGCGAAACATGTTTTCGTTTATAAGGAAATCAATCCCTAAATCAAAATCATATATTTCCTCTTTCTGTTCGTTTCATGTAAAACGAATTCGGAGAAAAGGAAAATTACTGGTGATATTTTAACAACACTATATTACTTATCAATTTGGAAGACTGGAGGTTTTCTCAAGTTTGCCACGTCATACTCAGCAGAGGATATTTGTAACACAGGCCCTTGTGTTCTTTGCGGAGATTAACGATTAATTTTTAAAACATTTTTTAGGTGACCCCCGACTCGAAATGCTTCACAGTACAATACATTATGACAAGGCCGGACACTTCGGTGTACCCTACCCGCCTGCTTTGCCTATCGCTACGCTACCATCGCATGTAATCGATTAAAACCTAATGTAAACATAATCATGGATGATTGGCCTATCGATCACCAATCATGAAACCTAACACTTCTTTATTGTTATTTCTGTAAGTCGATTGAAACCCGATTTTGACTCAACTAAACGATCTTGACACAAATGGATGACGATATGTCCGCACTAAACGGGGGTGTAGTGGAAGCAAGCCCTCTGATTGGTCAACGCTTGTAAATCTGCAATTCTTTATAAATTCGCGGGATTTTTTTCTCTTATCGACTGCTTAATGTAAGAATGTTTTCGAGCACTGGCTTTTCATAAGAAAGCATCAATTGTAAATGTCTCCTAAACAAGCATCAACCAACCAGAGGGCTTGCTTTGACCACATCCCCGTTTTGTGCGGACACATCGTCATCCATTTGTGTCAAGATCGTTTAGTTGGGGGTCAAAACGGGGTTCAGTCGACTTGCAGAAATAACAAAAAAGAATTGGTTGGTGTCATGAGTGGTGATCGATAGGACAATCACCCATGATTATGTTTACATTAAGTTTTAATTGATTGCATGCGAAGCTAGCGTAGCGATCGGCAAGGCAGGCGTGTAGGGTACACCGAAGTGTCCGGCCTTGTCATCATGTATTGTACTGTGAAGCATTTCGAGTCGGGGGTCATCTCAAATGTTTTGTGTGTTTTTAACATCTTTAATCCTCGCAAAGACACGAGGGCCTGTGATTTGTAAGGCATTGATCAACAATGTTGTTATGTTGTGTTTGGGTCCACCAATGGGTCCACAACACTACATTCAAGGCGTTGTTATACAATTACATAGAAGTACAGCACGGCCAGACAGTATCACAGCGGCGATCAGCCTACCAGCCAAGCCGCTTTAGATCAATTCTAACCTGGATCTTTACGGCTGATCAGCATTTGAAAAGAGTGACTAGGAACTAATATTAATACATACACTGTGTCGTATGTCAGCAGTATTTCGAACTTATTCAAACTGATTTCGTAATGTACACAAAAGTCAGAAATGGTGTATGGTGAAGGCAACTTTAGAGTGAGTGAGTGAGTTTAGTTTTACTCCGCACTCGGCAATATTCTAGCTATATGGCAGTGGTCTGTAAATAATTGAGTCTGCACCAGACAATCCAGTGATCAGCATCATGCATCATGAGCATCGATTTGCGCCATTGGGAACCGAGGACATGTGTCAACCAAGTCAGCGAGCCTGACCACCCGATACCGTTAGTCGCCTCTAACGACAAACATGGGTTACTGGAGATCAATTGAACCCGGATTTTCACGGGTACACCTTCAGATACAGAGTGTTGTGTTTTCAGGCGAGGAACACCTACTGCAAGGTATTGGGATCGGAGCAGCGGCGATGGCTCTTCCATTCACAGTCATACTTCTGCTGTGCATCTTCAGACCTTCTATCTGTAAGTAATTACTGGACGAAGACGCTACTAAGATCGGATGTCATGGTGACCACTACATACCAACAGACCAAGACGCTACTAAGATCGGATGTCACACTTATCATTACATACCAACAGACAAAGACGCTACTAAGATCGGATGTCACACTTACCACTGCATACCAACACACTTAGACGCTACTAAGATCGGATGTAATGTTTACCACTACATACCAACAGACTTAGACGTCACTAAGATGAGGATGTCACACCACTACATACCAACAGACAAAGACACTACTAAGATCGGATGTCACACTTACCGCTACATACCAACAGACCAAGACGCTACTAAGATCGGATGTCACACTTACCACTACATACCAACAAAGACGCTACTAAGATCGGATGTCACACTTACCACTACATACCAACAGACTAAGACGTCACTAAGATCGAATGTCACACCACTACATACCAACAGACAAAGACGCTACTAAGACAAGATGTCACACTTATCATTACATACCAACAGACTAAGACGCTACTAAGATCGGATGTCACACTTACCACTACATACCAACAAAGACGCTTCTAAGATCGGATGTCACACTTACCGCTACATACCAACAAAGACGCTACTAAGATCGGATGTCACACCACTACATACCAACAGACTAAGACGCTACTAAGATCGGATGTCACACCACTACATACCAACAGACTAAGACGCTACTAAGATCGGATGTCACACTGACCATTACATACCAACAGACTAAGACGCTACTAAGATCGGATGTCACACCACTACATACCAACAAAGATGCTACTAAGATAGGCTGTCACACTTACCACTACATGGGTAGACTGCACTTTACGGGTCCCCGGAGGTTTACGCTACAGACATGCGCAGAAGCCATATGTACATTGAAGCGAGCACTAACGCTGACGCCATTTTTTGTTTACTCCAGCGAATAACAACATCGCTGTTTTGGCCCATTAAATTACCCTTGGATACTAATCGATAAACTTCCCTAGCCCTTCGCTCCTCAACAATGTTTTAGGGTTTGTATTATTTTCTGGGTTTGTCAATTGCAATGTTTTAATTGCAATATTTTAAGAAGACGCTGACATAAAATAAAAAAAATATCCCAGTAATGTATTGTTTCGTTGAAATGAAATATTTTAGCCCTTAGATGCTTCATGTATCTTTCTTTTTCCATTTTCAATTACAATAAACAAAATAGGTAAGTTTTCATTATATGTAGCACATCATTCCAAGCGTTAGGAAAACAAATATCGAAACGCTTCACTTACCTTACATTACAAGAACAAATCTGCGCTTGAATTGAATTCACTTACCTTACAAGAACAAATCTGCGCTTGAATTGAATTCATCAGTGTTTTCATTTTGCACGTCATTTTCTTTGTTTTCATTTTCAACGGTTTTAAAATATTCATGTGTTTTTTGGGGGGGTCAAGTACACGGCGGATAAAAGTAAGAAATGTAACAAAATGATCATCAGAACAACGTAAATATTTCTTCCTCACAATGTACTTCACAAAATAACTATCATACAATCCTCTCCTAGTTCGATACCTGGGCAGGGACGCTTGCACCGCTCTCCACGTACTCTCAATTTGTATTAGTGCACGCACCATTCTCTGCATTCACAAGTTCCGTTCTATGATTCACTGTCACATGCTCATATCCCATCTCATTCAGTCTAGCATACACCTTCCAACAATCAGAATGAATTATCGATCCCGATCGCACCCACTTTCTCAGCACACTCAAAAGGGTATCTGCATCACGCTTCTCCACAACTTCCAAAAACATCCTGTTACTTTCTTTCTCGATACACCCAAACACCCAAACACCATCCACTCGCCTTCCTCGGTGAAACTTTCTCTTCCCAAACTTACTCTCAAACAATCTCCACTTCAATCCCTGGCCCAGCTATCATCTCATTCTCATCTTCAATCACAAACAAAAACACATCTCTGCAACAATTAAACCAGTCAACTAAAGTGTGATCAGATCCCAGACGCAACTGCACTCTCACAAAATTCTCTCTCAGTTGATAAACCCAATAAAACGTCAATTTCATAATTTCACTAACGGACAAATGAGACTTAAAATACCAAGAATCACGCCTTGCTACAATTTAATAATTGCATTTTTATTTGAGCAACGCCACACATAACCAACCCTCACTCCGACTCGAATCCTTTCGCGTTCCTATACTCCCGACCGCCTCCGTGGTGCAGTGGTTAGAGCGTCCGCCCGGAGAGCGGAAAGTCGCGGGTTCGATCCCCGACCGCGTCCTACCAAAAGACGTTAAAATATGGTACTTTTTGGTCCCTGCCTGGCGCTCGGCATTAATGGGTACAACAAGGACTGGTCGGCTCTGAGTCAGTATAATGTGTCTGAGTGGGGTATTCATGCTTCACTGCGGCATGGTATCTCAGTGAGCTAGCACTATAAAACCAGCCTAAGTCTGGGCTAGTACAAGCAGCCGCACATACACATACACACGCATGCACGTCGTCATATGAGCGAAATATTCTCAAGCACGAAGTTAAACCCAATTTCACCTCACCTCCTATACTCCCACTGTCACACTTCACACACTTCCCACTGAAATTTCTAATTAAACCAAACGCTGCCAACAAATCCATCAACTTTCTCTCATCTCTACACAACTCATACAAATCATCATACACCATTCTCCTTACAGCCATAGCTAAGCAAGTCAAATAAACAAAATTGAAATTAAGCGACAAGCAAAATACAACTCACCAACCGTGCGCGTTAAAGTTGTGGCAGTCGTAGTAACCCACTACCTTATTTGGAACATTCGACTAGTGCGTCCACAATTGACCAATCAGAGAAAGGATCGTCATCGGGATTTCCCCTTGATTACTAACGATTGGATTGATGTTTTGGAGCATTACTAAAATAAGTGTTTAAAACTATGGTCTTTCAGACGAAGTTTTAAAATAAACTTTTGACACGAAAATGACCTCTAATTTCGTCTAACATGTCTCCTAACGGAGATCAGCCCGCTCTTGCGTGCTTTTCGATATATATATGACGCGCTGTGCAAACGCTTATATAGAATACATTTCTACTTCCGGGTCTGGGGACCCGTAAACTGCTGGTTAGACGCAACACACTTAGACGCTACTAAGATCGGATGTAATGGTTACCAGTACCTACCAACAGACTTAGACGTCACTAAGGTCGGATGTCACACTTACCGCTACATACCAACAGACTAAGACGCTACTAAGATCGGATGTCACACTTACCACTACATGCCAAAAGACTAAGACGCTACTAAGATCGGATGTCTTACTGGATGGTTGACTGTCTGACTGTCTGACTGTCTGACTGGATGGCTCATTGTCAGACATCTTCCTTTTTTTACCAGATAACACCCATCATAATTTAATCATGCTTTCTCTTTTCAGGCTCGAATCGTTGCCGCAAGAAAACGTAAGTAATTATACAACTAAACTACACGTAAACGTTGAAAACAAAATTGTTTTGAACAGGAGATGGTTCGAATCCTAGTTCCGGTTGTAATGCGACTGTCATGTCGAACTTCATATAGGGAAGGGTCGGGTTCGATCATACCACATGTGTACAATCACTGACTCATGATGGGAACGCAACAAGACTAAAATACTGTTGAAAGAAGCGTTTAATGCCACGTCAAAAATTATTCATCTTTCAAAACCGACAGACCCTATTTTTTTTTAAATTTGTAAATTTTGTTTTGTATAATGAATATGGATGTAGTTGAATTATTTCACACACATTTTTCTATCCAAGTGATTCACAAACAATAATACAGCAAACAAACACATATGATCTGATTCTTTTATCTTTGTTTTCATTTGTGGGCTTGTAAATATTGACTTGAGTGGGTTTTGTTCTCGAAACAGAAATTGGTTCCGTGTCGCCCAACCAGGAATCTAGTTCTTTTACATAAAATTCGAATTTACCTAAAGAGAAAAAAAGAACCAAATCACGATAATCCCTGAAGGATCAATGAAGGACTTGTAACAAATATAGTGAGCGCGTAAGTTTTGATCAGGGTAGAAATATTTGAGTTATTTATGAATGTCAACTAGGGAGATGTTACAAGAACGTGTAACTATATATCGCAATATGTCAACGCTAAATGTTATAGTTCCGCTATAGTATGTTATAGTTATGTTATAGTTATGTTATAGTTATGATATATATAGTTATGATATAGATATGTTATACTCTCACTTTCCTTTCCAGGGATGATGCATCCGGCACAGAAAATACAGAAAGTATGATCTTGTGATTTGCATCTAGTAGCAACAGTGTGTGCGTGCGTGCGTGCGAGAGCCGGTGTGTGGTGGTAGTGTATGAGAGAGAGAGAAAGAGAGAGAAAGAGAGAGAGAGAGCGTCGGGTGTAGGGTTAGGGAGGATATTATTTTGGAAAAAAAATCGGTATAACTATGTTTAAAGATGAAACTTCTAGAAAACAACACAATACAACAGCCAGGTAATCAACAAGCGTGTGTAGTGAAATTTCAGTTTCACACGTGCAACTCGCACACCTGGCTGTTCTACCAGCATGTGGTCCCCCCTCGTAAACAATAGCGAAAGTGACAAGACAATAATGATCGTTTGTTAAACAACTGTTTTTTTCGGATGCCGAAAACATCAGAGTTGGTCTGTCGATTTCATTTGACTGTGCAAAATTTGTGCAAACGGACTTGTGATTTCAAACACTTTACGTTGTGACAGAGGCAAGACTGTGACAAAGGCAAAACACTTCGTCTCTCTTGAGCATACCAACTGTATACAAAACCATTTTTTTCAACAGCTACAGTCAGCAGGCAACGTCTCCATGACGACCGGAATTCCTCAACATCTATATGCGCTGACAGGGACATGGGTGAGGGCAATCTCTATAGTCACTGCATGAAGATAATATATTATATTATAGAGGCTGGTGGTCTGTCCAGAGAAAGCTTTAAAGCAATTTGACGTGCTTATTTTTAATAAAATGAGTGAGTGACTGGTTTAAAGGAGCTTTTAGCAATATTCCAGGTGGGGGACACCAGAAATGGACTTCACACATTGTACCCATGTGGGGAATCGAACCCGGGTCTTCGGCGTGACCTTTCAATAAAATGAAACAAACAACCATTATATGAGAGAGCGAGTGAAGAGAGAGAGGGCAAGAGAGAGAGCAAGAGAGAGAGAGAGAGAGAGAGAGAGAGAGAGAGAGAGAGAGAGAGAGAGAGAGAGTACTTCCAAAACGCCTCTTGCTCCCTCTATCCCTCATGCGTAGAACGTTGCTCATGATGTCAGTCACTGGGTGATATGGATCCGACTCGATTATTTAGGCCATACAGCTGGATATAGCTTAGTACGGGATAAAGCAACAAGCAACATTGAGCATGCAGTTTGGGTTAGCAGGCAAACAGATTGTCCAAAAGTGTTCAAAATTTTAAAGCTATTCTCTCTCACTCTGCCCCCATCCTCTTCCCTGTTATATATTGTTTCTTTCTAATAATTCTTGTACAAATTACGTTTGACTTGTTAAAAGGCATAGATACTACTCACTCCTATTTATTAGAGGTACCAACACCAGGGAGCCGTTGTACAAAACAGCCTTAGCGCTAAGTCTTTGTTGAGAAATGGAACTTACGGTTACCTTGGCGCCTTCGTCACATTAACCTGTACTCCGTTCAAGCTGTGTTTGTTTGTTGGTTAACACCGCATACAACAATTCCACAGCTATATAATCGAACATGGACAACACAAACCAGTGATTGACATTATGAGCATCGATACGATGACAAGTTTCAACCAAGTCAGTGAACCTAACCACCCGATCCCATGTGTCGCCTCAAATGACAACCATGGACTGTTAAAGAACCACTAAACTTTGTTTTTTGTTACTCTTTTAACCATTACATATGAAAGATTTGTGGTTAGTCTTATGCGGAACACCAAATTTATTCTTTAAAAACTTGTGGTTAATTAATACCGAGCGATTAAAAGTGGTCAAAAAGTCGCCTGTCTCCCTCTCGCCCGCCAACGAAACCACAGACAGGTTACGTAACTCTGTCGCCAGAGCACTGCAGTGACGTCATATGAGGAACGATTTTCAGTTAGTTGTATAGAAAATGTGTAGCACGCTCATCATTTTGATGATTTCTCGACATCAACGACGACATGCCGAATCGTTGCGTTGTCGTCAATTGCTCCTAGAGGTCGGGCGATGGTGTCACCATGCACAGATTTCCACAGGACCCCGCAGTTCGTGCTAAATGGGTTATGTTTGTGAGTGCGAAGCGAGCGTTGTGGAAGCCTGAAACGATATCTTACTTGTGTTCAGATCGCTTCACGGAAGTTTAAGAATCAAAACTACTTACTAATTCTAGTAAAATATGCATATGATTGATGACCATAAAGATTTTCTATGACACAACTTGTAACATAACGATTTCTTCCTCGGAAGTGAGTTTGTGGTCGAAGTAACAATAATATTGTAAGTAGTATTATATTCACACCCACCTCGCTGCCACGAGAGAAATTGTTATGTTATACGCTATGTCATGCAAAATCCTATTGGCCATCAATAAAATACATATTTTACTACCAGTAGAAAGTAGTTTTGATTTTGTAACTCGGTGAAAACAAACCTAAATACCATTTATCCTCAGACTGGCGGATGTTCCCGACAGGGCGCCGCCATTTTTAAAAATAAAAAAAATCTGTTAGAATTAATGAGATTATAGTTTGTTTTCATCAAGTTAGAAAACTACTTTCTACTCGTAGTTAAATATGTATTGGAATCATAACCAAACGGATTTTGCATGACACAACTTATAACATAACGATTTCTTCCACGGAAGCGAGGTGGGGTCGAAGTCACAATACTGCGCGATAAATTTCTTGCTACATTCCCATGGTTAATGTCCACTCACCAGTATGTAGATACTAGTCAATGTGCGTCTTTATATTTGGTCTTATAATCCTAATTAGTTTATTATCACACTTGTATGCATTTTGAAACTAAATAAAAGCAGACGATCTGCTGATACTTATAGTGAATTTATAACAGAACTGTAATATCTAGACATTTTATAGTTTGCCAATGTGAATCATAATTCGCACACACACCCTAGTGCATGTTGTCTGTCTCATTACACTTCACGGCGAAAACAATGATTCTGTTGAATGCTACGACAAATGAATAAAACAAAATGCAAATATTAAAATTAAAACAGATTAAAGTTATAGGAACAATATCAGGCCATTACCTTGTTCGAGGAATGTATCCATCAATATCCACAAAACTGTTCCAAATGATGTGTCTTTTAACAGTTTAATATACGAAAAAAGTGATAAATCTTTTCAGGTATTGGTGTATAGTCTCATTGGTCACCCAAGATAGCACACCTGGCAACTAATTGCATAATGTCCGCCTTTCTTTAAAAACAGTAATTGAGTTAGCTAATAATTGGCAATCAATCAATGTATTGCCGGTTAATCCTTTGAAAGAAGGACGTTGTTTTTACGCAGACACCGACACGACAGAGTGTATTCAGTATAGATTAGTAAATCTACATACAACCAATACACACAACCAGTGACTGACCATGTGTAGGTTTATACCACACAAACCAGTGACTGACCAGCATGTGAAAACTTACACTGTTTTGAGAATACAAACAACCATGATTACTGACCAGTCATTATACAAATAGGGCCTAACACACCAACAATTTTGACTGAATCGTCATGAGAACAAGTTGTAACTCGGAAACACAACCAGTGATTGTGAGAACATGACCACAACAATTGTACATACAGTGCCTGTAAACAAGATAATTTAACCCCTAACCAGTGACTTCTGCATCGGCCCCTAAAGCTATTCCTCATATGACGTCACAACCAGTGACTGTTGTCAAAAAAGGTCGATTTAAGTCAATTAAAGGTCGAAATGAGTAGTTTTAATGACGGGGACATTCATTTATAACGATGTTACCATGTGACCTTTAAAGAACAATTCTAAACCGGATCCTGAATGGTCCTTGAACTTCTGACCAGTGACTGACCATCTACACACAACCAGTGACTGACCAGTACACACAACCAGTGACTGACCAGTACACTGACAGATTTGACAGTACACACAGTGACTGAACAATACACACAACCAGTGACACTGACCAACCATGACTGACCAGTACACACAACCAGTGACTGACCAGTACACACAACCAGTGACTGACCAATACACACAACCAGTGACTGACCAGTACACACAACCAGTGATCGATAACAATACACACAACCAGTGATCTTTAACAATACAGACTAGCAGTGACTGACCACTTCGTACTTTGTGATTCAGGTGACGAGGACATGCTGGGCAATACATTCCACAGTTTCGTGCCTGAAGCAAGATCGGCTCCGGAGTCAGGTATTTTTATTGTTGCTATATCTTATCGTCGGCAAAACGTACTCTCGACGGTGAACATCACACATCGCCAATCATGCATCTGCCAACGACGAACTCGCCTGGCCCACGTCAGTCGACGACGTTGGTTTTGAAGAGTTAGATGCACTCCGCGGTAGGGTCGACGTGCTCGAATACCATGTTCTTTTAGTCGCCGGTACACTGTACGTCGACTGATACGGTGTCCTAGTACCGTCGCTTCTGTTGAAAACGATTTCTCAGATGAATTGTCCGGATGTGGCGATCAATGGGCGTTGTCAAACGTGGTCGTCCACACCTAGGCCTGTCTGACGTATTGCCTGTTTGTCTTTCTCGTTGCATCAGTTCTTTGACAGTTGCTCGGATGTAGCTGAAGGTTCTGGCAATACGATGTGGTTAGTTCCTTATTGGGCCATTCCGACAGCTCTCTCCCTTTCGATTCGCCTCAAACGTGGCATATTTTTTGTGTTATTTAACTACAGTGAAGCTCACGTGTCGCGTAGGCTTTTTTATATCGCCAATATACACGTGCATTTCGTGTTACATACAAAAATCGTTTTGGATTTTTGTGACGTTTAGGTGATTCGTAAACTTGTTTCGCCGTTTGTTCCCGGAAAGGATGACTCTGTACGTGTTTGACATGGCTCAGTATGGTCTTATCACTTCATTTTTATCTTTGGGAGTTTTTGTGAAACATTTTGCGGGTGTAAAGTTTCTTTGGAGCACTAGTTTATTTTCATAATCAACCATCAATCATACATAACAAATTGGAACACAAATATTAATGTTGTATTTTCGTCTCTTTTCTTCAACAGATTACGACCAACTGCCCATTGCCCGAAAACCTTTGGAGACCACAGCAGCTGGTAAGACATAACAATCAAATACAGTCAAACATCACTGAGTCGAACATTGTTTTGTCGAACTTCCGGTTGTCTGGAGGTAAAATCATGGTCTCAGTGGATTCCATTTTTAGTTACTTTGCAACCATGTCGAATATCTGATAACTCGTTTTTTCGACACAACGGTGTTCGACTGTATATAGGGTTCAGGATGATTACACTCATGCATGTGTGGCTGCTTGATGTTGCCCTGGCTGATACCGGATTTACATCACAGGCCCTCTGAGAGGCCATGCTGCAGTTATAGAATGAACACATACTCCCAATTGCGATCTAGAGAATGACCTAGTTGGGTTTTTACGTCGGATTTAGCAATATTCCAGCAATATCACTGCGGGTGATCCCGGAATGGGACTTCACACATTGTACCCATGTTAGGAATCGAACCCGGGATTTCGGCGTGACGAGCGAACGCTGTAACCACTAGGCTAGCCCATTGCCTCTATAACATGATTACCCACTACGTAGTACTTTCAGTTGCTTCAGATGCTGGTGATGATGAAGATGACCAGCCAGAGTATGTCAATGTGTTGGAAGCCAGGGACGGACATAACCAGGATGACCAGGAAGAATACACCAACTTTCCCGCAATTTCCATATAGAGTGAGTGAGTGAGTGAGTATTGTTTA